TGGGGCCGATTGCTTCTGTACTATGAGAAACGGTGGTGAGTTTGCTTATGACAGTTCTGGTGTCCTGCTCAGAGGGAAGCCGTTGATCTTTGAATGTGGGCCCCACTGCCATTGCCCTCCGACGTGCAGAAACCGGGTTAGTCAGTGTGGGATTAAGAACAGATTTGAAGTGTTCCGGTCTAGAGAAACAGGTTGGGGTGTTAGGTCACTGGACATGATCCAAGCTGGCTCCTTTATCTGCGAGTTCGCAGGGGTTGTCCTAACAAGAGAGCAAGTCCACATTTTTACAATGAATGGGGACAGTTTGGTCCATCCGAGTCGTTTTGCACAGAAATGGAAAGAATGGGGAGACGTGTCTCAAATATATTCCAACTATGTGCCCCCAGCTCACCCCTCTATTCCTCCGGTTGATTACGCAATGGACGTGTCGAAAATGAGGAATCTGGCGTGTTACATGAGCCATAGTCCGACTCCCAATGTCTTTGTGCAGCTTGTGCTCTATGATCATAACAATGTCTGTTTCCCTCGCCTGATGCTGTTTGCACTGGAAAACATCCCTCCATTAAGGGAGCTTAGTCTTGACTATGGAGTGAGTGATGAGTCCATCTCCGGGAAGCCCAAGCTTGCTCTCTGTAACTGATTTTTTCTTTGGAATTAGTCAAAGATGCTGACCAGCTCTCTCTGTCAAATGATTTTGAGGTATATATCAACTTCTGTATTAACCAAGTCTTCTTTGTTTTATTGTTTTTCCTTTTTTCACTATACTACCAAAGAGTATAATCAATTTCCTTTCTTTTACTGAAAAAGAACAGTTTGCCTTTTTCTTTTGTTTTTTCATTTTAGTCTGTTTCAAAGTATTTATCTCGTACCGTATCTAGTACTCCATATAATTTATCTGGCTCAAATCGATACATATTACATTCTTTACAATGTGACTCTGCCTTGTCCCAAACATAGTGGAAAGAAGAGTGTAGCTGTTTAGTATTGAGATTTGAGAATTTTTATGACTCAATGTGCTTGTGTTGAACTGTCCTGCAAGCTACTACGACAATGTTTTTTTTCCTAAGACGGATTGAAATCTTTAATGCTTCCTCTGTTGTCCTTAACATAAGTCACAATTTAGAAGGCATTAGCTGAATATCAGTTTTTATTATAAGATTTATCTTACCATTCCGTTGAAGTATTTAATACTCTGGATTTTAATAATCTGTTTTTTTCTTCCAATCTTCACCATCATGTTTCACTTTGGATTTACGTTGCCCATTAACGAAACGAGATTTTTAATATAGAATTAAAGTCATTAAAATCACGCAAAAAGTAGGGTCTGGGAGGGTGTGTGTATGTAGACCTTACCCTTCTTAGTAGTATAGACTATAGAGGTTGTTTCCAAGAGACCCCAACTCGGAAAAATGATTTTTAATGAGGCTATGATATTGGTTGCACGGTACACTTTGGAGTACTTCAATTACTTTTAAGTAGGGTCTTCAATTACTTATATTGGTTGCAGGGTATTAATGCTTTCCATGATTGTTTCGAAAATACAGAGTAATTCTCTTTATTTCCCCTGTTTGTGGTATATCATAATAAGACTTGTAACCTTTGCCACCAATGTTACACTATGCGGTAAAATTAGTTCCCGGCGGCGATTTATTGTGACCAAACTGAAGTTATAGTAATTACCGGAGTTTGGTTATTGTGCTAATGTGTTTAGTATCTCTATTTTGTCCGCACGTTCGTGTTCCGAGCTGAAAGTCTCTTGGAAACAGTGTCTTGATCCATTGCTGAATCATCATGATACCTTTGTGTACACACAACAGATGTGATTTTTTGTTTTTTTTTGGTTTTTTGCATAGTTATGGGAATGCAGACATGATGCATGATCACAAGATGAAGATGAGGATGGTCAAGAACATGCCTCATACGTCGCCGTTCAGGTTTTAGGGAAGAACTTACGAAATACTCCCTCTAATAGTCATCTGTAATACTATTATTGCCTAACACAATGCAAAGGTGTGTAGGTCTTTATGTAAACGCGACGAATTTTTTGTTGTTGTGGTTTAGACATGGGCGCGTTCCTTAGAGGTAACCTCTACGAGGAAGAGCCCAAATGTCTTGCATTTTGGCTTATAATTTTACGTTGGACCGTCGTTGTATCATGCCTTAACATGTATTGACAGTATAGTGGTCTCATTGGAGTTATACTAATTTTGAAGTTCATTGAGACTTGCAATGATCAAATTTCCTGCTGTTTTGAGTTGAATTTTCATCACTTTAACAAGGTTTTCTTTAGCCAGAAGATTTGTTATTACATGTTTTCTGAAATCTGAAAATAAAGTTTTTGGAGAGTTTTGCAATGATGGTTTTACTAAAACTTGAGATATTGAATTTTGGTTCTGAAATTTGAGAGATATTAAAATTTCGGATATGTGTTGTGAAATTTAAGAAAGATGATTAGGCTTTACTAAATACCAATATTGAGAGAGATTAAAATTCATATTTCTCACATTTTACGGAGTATTATTTAACTTTTTAGCATATTCACAAGAGACCGGTTCCATAGCTACTGGAATCCAGTGACTACGGAAGCCACTGCCCCTGCGGAGTTCCGTTCATAAAATTGATGATTCCTACCCCCTAACCTCCCGGTAAACCCACCCGCCAAGTCTTGACCCAAACTACTTCCCCCACCTACGTCAATTGCACCTCGTAAGTATAAAGTCAAAAATTTTAATTTTAAAGTAGGTGGGGGGAGTAGTTTGGGTCGAGACTTGGCGGGTGGGTTTACCGGAGGGGTTAGGGGGTAGGAATCATCAATTTTATGAACGGAGCTCCGTATAGAGGCAGTAGCTTCCGTAGCTACTGGATTCCAGTGGCTATGGAACGTGTCTCTATTCACAATACTACAATTATAATATCGGTTCATACTTTCTAATCTGAGTTAACATCTCACAAAATTTGGCTTCCAAACGGCTCCATGGAATTAACTACAGTAAGAAATATAAAATCAGAAAAAAAGGACAACCTCTCATATATTGCCATTCACGTCCTCTCCCCTCACATGCAAGGAAACGTCCCACACCTTTGATCACATTCACCATTATAATTAGAGCCGGAGGAGGAGGATCAGAAGCGGCGGAGGTCGCCGACGTAGATGGTGGCTGCACGGTGAGAGATCATTCTCACACGATGGAAGGCGTGGTCGCCGCCGCCCCGACGGCGAGGCGCAAGGTGATGGTGGTGGCGGACCCCACCCGGGAGTCGGCGGCCGCCCTCGAGTACGCCCTCTCCCATGCAGTCCTCGAGAACGACACCCTGGTCCTCCTCCACGTCGACAACCCCAACGCGTGGAGGAACCAGATCGGGTCCTTCTTCAAGCGCTCGGCCTCCTCCTCCTCCCCCGCTGCCACACCGGGGTGCGGCATTGGCGTGGAGGCCGACTTCTTGGAAGGGATGAAGCGGGCGTGCCGGGTTGCGCAGGCGAAAATGACGGTGCAGGTGGAAAGGGTCCCCATAATGGACGGGAAGGACAAAGCTTCTGCCATTCTTTCCCAATGTGCAAAGCTTGGGATTGATCTCCTCATCATTGGGCAAAGGAGGACTCTATCTAATGCCATCTTAGGGTTGGTTTTCTATACATTTCTTCCTATATTATGGCCCATCACATGTAGATTGGTCATTTCGAACCTTGCACGTGAAAATTTAATTTTATTTCAAAACTGAATAGCGGGGATTTTCAATCTCGTTGATTTTTAGTGAATAAGATTCTAATACCATTTCAAACAAAAAAACTCTAACTAAAAGGTCTAGCTTATAAGTGATGGTTCCCATGACATTAGATCCACATGTCATGGGATGACTCGAGGCCTCTATGGTATCATGTTCGTAAAATTGACGGTTGCTATTCCTCTAACCCTCCGGTAAACTCCCGCCCCGGCCCAAACACCCCCCCCACCACCTTCAACTTCACCTCCCAAGTTAAGTCTGAAATTGTTGGAGTCAATTTTGATTCCAAAGTCAAAATTAACTTGGAGGTGCAATTGAAGGGTGTGTGTGGGGGGTGGGTGTTCGGGTCGGGGCGGGGTGTGGGGGTTTACCAAGAGTTTAACGGTGGTAGAAACCGTATATTTTACGAACGGTGCCAGTGCCAAAAGAAGTGACCCCATAAATAAGAGTAGAGCATATGATGAAATTGGGACACATGGATGCAGGCCAAAGAGGAGTGGGTCTTTAAGGGGTCTAGACACAGCAGAATATCTGATTGAGAACAGCAAGTGCACCTGCGTCGGAGTCCAGAAAAAGGGCCAAACTGCTGGATATCTTCTTAACACCAAGTCCCACAAAAACTTTTGGCTTTTAGCTTAAATTACTTTATTTGTCAAATTATTATTACTACTGTTACTATACAACTTAATTGTTCTCCCTCTGTTTTTACTTTGTTCCTGTTGTTACGATGTTTGCTTTGTCCCGTTAATTAATCTATGTTTGGGACGGAGTCTCTTAAAAACAGACTCTGTACTTCTGAGCAGCAAGAAAGGCGACTTTCTTACACGTAACATGTTCATCTTACTTTTTGTGAGATTTTTACTGAGTCTGTTGTTGTATTATTATACAACTGAACTAATCCCTTCTCAATTCATTATTTGTGTTGTGCTTGCTTCTCACCAATTACACATAATTTTGGTTCTATGTTTTACATAGTTCCACATTAGTATATATGAGTAGCTTAAAGCAAAAAAAAAAACATAAAAAAACCAATCACAGCCACCTAAGTGTATGAATTTGTCATATTTACACCCTGAGAAAGGTAAGATTTGCCAAATAAATCTTACCAAAAGTATGATATATATATATTGTAATTAATAAAGGATGATCTGTTCTAAGTGACTGACTCCAAAAACCAGTTCCAGATAGCCAAAAACATACATATAGATGCATCTAACCAAAAACCACACCAACAAAAAAAAAAGCAAAAAAAAAAAAAACAGAAATTAATAAAATGTGAAGTTTCTCTTGGTTTTTTGTGTGTGCTCTGAATTCTCCTTTGGGTTTACCAGCTGTGTGATATGTTCTTAAAGTGCAGGAAATAATATAAATATGATGAAGATCTTCAATTCTTCATTCTGCTTTTGTCTATATATGTGAATCCATGCCGAGTCCATTCGATTCGGATGTCCTCATGATCCGTAACCGTTTAACCGTGCTCAGAAACATCCTGAAATGCAACGAAAACATGTATCAGAATTCCAAAAAGAGCGCTTCTATGATGGACCTAAAGTGCCCAATAAATGCATATTAATCCTTATAATAATAATAATAATAATAATAATAATTTATCGTTTCTGTTAAGAGTCGATGTTTCTTATATGAAGAAACCTTAGGTCGACATAAGAATTTACGTACCCCCACGGAACGTCTCCGACAAGCATCCAATCTCCATCTTTATCTTCATATGTCAGCACAAACTCAGATGAACATTTGTCTAGGAGCTTAGAGGGCACCATTTTTTGCTGCTTTCCCCTTCCTGAAAACCCACACACAAATTAAGACATTACACTCTTAACAATGAACTAATTAATTAAGATGTCATTATTTGTACTTACTGCAGGTAGAATTAGTGGTTTTTGGGGTTGATTTAAAGAACATGTCCTCCAGAGTTAGGGCAAGTGTCTTATAGGAAGTGTGGGCAATGAGATCCACCTTTCTCCCAATGGGGTGCCCATCCATGTTGACCTTGACAAACCCATGGCTCATTTTCTTCTTTGAGTTTTCTATGGCTTCTTCCACAACTTCATCTTCTTCCTCATCTTCTGAGAGCTTTGATTGGCTGTTGGTATTAGCCAAGGTGTTCATCCTGTATGCCGCTATGGGTGGCCACCCCACCACTTGACTGCACAAAACCAAAACTTGTTGACCATACCGACCTCGAACATTCTGACTAATTAAGAAGAGACTAATATATGAAAATATGAGTCATTATTCCCATTGCCTATTGATTTTGGCCTTTTTTTTGGGTTGAAATCTCGGTATTCTGCATGGTACACAGCAAATTTCGAACTTGTGACCTCTAAGTCGGTAGAAATATTCCAACAAAGTCTAAAAAATCAACTGAACTAAAAAGTCAAACTTTGCGGAGAAGAACATAGTAGTATATATCTAATTAATTAATCACCTAGAAGCAGTAGGAGGGGAGCCAACACAAGGATCATCAGCGGCTCTTTTCATGCCGGAAACCGCCGCGGCTGCGGGTCCTACCCTCGGAAAGCCATTAGGGAAGTCTTTAGCTGTCAATATTCTAGCTCCGCCGCCGCAGCTGCTGCCACACTCTGAGGATCTCCTCATTTTCCCCACGCTGCCGCCACTCCCCAGGCTTAACCCCAACTCAAGCTCCGCCGCGTCATCCTTAACCGCTCCGCCGCCGCCGCCCATTTTTAAGCCAAGAGCTGCTGCAGGTTCCATCATAAAGAACAAGAACAAGAATGGCCCTGTTCCAGTTTTACCCCTGACTGGGTAATTAACTAGAGTAAATAATTATAATTAACCTTAATTACCAAGAAGAGGAGAGAAAGAAGATTATGGGCATTGGGTTTGGGGGGTTAAAATAGGAGGGGTAGGAGGGAGAGTGGGACCCATGTGTCTGCTATAGTGCGCCATGTATATATTGAAAACTTCATCCTCAAGCTTCAGTACATCTGATCATCATATCATTCCCCCTACTAGAGCTACTACACGTTCTTTTTTTTTATTTATTATTCTAATTTTTTTTAATATAAAAATGATTTATCAGAAACTTTCTTGTCTGGAGATATTTCTGTTTATAGTTTACTCCCTAGTCAAGAAAAAGAATCATTCTATAAATGCATTTGTAGCCATCATGGGGCTAGGTCCCACCATCCCATTTGTTTTTTAATGTTATTTTTGGAGTAAATTCTATAATTAGTCATTTATAATAAAGGATTTAAATATTACCTTTAGGTAGTGTTTGGCAACTAACATTTCATTTCAATTCATGTATTTCAATTCCAAAATTTGAAATCCTGAATTTCAAATGACAAGAAGAGGTGCATGAATTTCAAATTAAGCTTTGTTTTGAATGTAAAGAATTTGATTCAAATCCAAATTCCAAATGCTTAAGTTTTCCAAACATGGAATTTAAGCCAAATCCGGATTTGAAATCCAAATTCATGTTCCCAAACATACCATTATAGTCTTTCTTTTATGAGTCTCTTTCCATAAATGATCCTTTTTTGATCTTCTACTATATTGATATTAATTTAAAAACAAAAAGTATAATTTGACATCAACCTTATGTCCAGTGACGTATTGTCGCATTTTGATATTGGTTAAACGGATAGCACAAAAATAATGACTATGATTGTGGGTTAGGATTCCGACAAAAGACAATATTTGTAGACTATAGTTGTGTTAGAAAGTGACTATAATTCACAAACGACGCATCATGAGCGGTTTTTGGAATTTTGTATGACAGGAAAGATATAATATTATTTTCAAATTAACACCAACATGATAAAAGATAAAAAAAGACAATTTTTGGAAAGATACCGATAAAAAAGGACCGTAAGGGTAATATCTGATAATAGAGGACTAAATAAGGAAATCCTGATGTTATAAAGAACCAATTATGAGAATGAATTTAACAACGCCCTTAACAAAATAATGAAAAGTTTAAATATTGGAATGAAATATACTTAGGGAGAACTCCCTAGATAAGAGTAAAAAACTATGAAAATACCAAAATAGGAGTCATAAGACTTTTAAGACCAAAATAAAAATTCACACTGCTATTGTTACATTGCGACACTTATCACATTGTAACTACCATACTGTCATCCGTCGCCTCTGCCACCAGAGTGCCGCCGACGAATGACTGATCTCACCGATATATTAGAGTAATCACTTTCTCATCACACTGCCAACGCGTATTCTTACACCGCACTGTCATTATACGTACTCTTATTTTGATCTTAAAAGACCCATGGTCCCTTGTTCCCCCTCCTTGCCATAAAAACCCTTTCGACTGCAAGTGGGTACACGAAATCAAATAAAAGTCTAATGGATGTGTTGACAGATACAATGTCAGGTTGGTCATACTTGGTAATCATCAGGTAGAAGGTCTCAATTACAACGAGACGTTTGCCACGATGGTAAAATTAACCATAGTGCGGACACTTTTAGCTGTTGCACTTGCTCGGAGTTAGGAGCTACATCAAATGGATGTTCATAGGGGAATTGACCTAAATAGGTCTAAAACATAATGACTTTCTCAATATAGGACCATATATTTTTATTTCTTAATGTATGATCATTGGTCATTATTCAAGCAAATGTCCACCATCACTGGACATTATTCCTCCCACTAGACATTATTAAGTTCTATTTAGGGAATAAAAAAGTTTAAGTCCTACATTGAGAAATGACTTATCTTTTAGTATTATTTCGTACAAATTTCACATGTTCATAATGCGTTCTTACATGGAGAACTTCAAGATGAGGTCTATATGCACTTGCCATCAGGTTTTTCAAACTTTTCTGATATGGCGTGCAAGCTTAAGAAATCTCTGTATGGATTGATACAAGCCCACGATGTTGGTTTGCTAAACTGTCTGGAGCTTCTAAACGTTATGGCTTTGTTTAATCCATCTCTAATTACTCCTTATTCTCCTTTGTTGGAAAAAGGAAGTGATTCATGTTCTAATCTATGTGGATGATTTGATTATTATTAGAGATTGTACGGAGAAAATAACCAAATTTAAATTAGCAGATAGTAATCTCCAACTTACTGGATGGTGCGATTTTGATGGGCTGTGTGCCCTCTTACGAGGCATTATTTGACTGGGTGGTTTGTTAAATTCGGGAATTTGCCTGTTTCTTGAAAGACAAGAAACAAACGATGGTTGCTCGCTCATCTGCTGAGGCTGATTATCGGGCCCTTGCTGTTATTACTTGTGGGTTGAAATGGTTAAAGAGCCTCTTGCACTCTCCTGGGATCTTGCACGATAATCATATGACTATCCATTGTGAGTTGTACTTCATATAGCAGCTAATCAGGTTTTTCACGAGTGCACGAAGCATATCAAAATCGACTATCATTTTTTTCGTGATGGGCTCCTTCGTGGTGTGATTCGCACGCATCATGTTCTTACTACACACTAGCTTGCAGATATACACACAAAGGCGTTGGGAAAATCACGTTTGGAGTTTCTTATTCCCATGTTGGGCATTTCGCTTATGCATGCTCCAACTTGAAAGAGGGGTACAATGTTAAATGAAAGAATATTTCCGTATATATTATTATCTATATATGGCAGCTTCCTAATATATCTTTCCTTTTGTAATTATTTTCCTATAGAGTTTCTAGCATGTGGGATCATATATATACGCATCCTTTGTTCATATTGTGATGATCAGACACACAAGAGAAATTATTTCTCCCAAAATATTATTCTTTCATTGAGTGACTCACAATCTAATCCTTTCATCTACATCACTTTCAACCATACATTTTCACTTTTCTTAAAGTTTGTACTAGGTTAAATTGAGAGCCTTTTTTTGGGACGGAGGGATTATATAGATGGAAGGAGTATGTAGGCCGGTGGGCGTTGTGCAGTTGGCAAAACAAGGGGTGTCAAGGGGGTAAGACTTGAGTTCGATTCTTGGCAACTGCGCTGGGAGACAACTATACTAACTACTAAGCATAAGGCATCTGTATGTACCAGATGCAAGCTCCATTTTTTACCACCAATCTGTGTTTAAAATCCAATTTACCATCTCTCAGTGATCGTCCGACCAAATTTGAAGGTGACCTTCTAGGATGAGGCTCATCTTTATTGTTTTAATTATGGAAGGAGTACGTAGGTCATGTGGTCGACTGGCCGCCGGTCGGTACTTACATAAATATTCTTGATTATTGTTGACAGAAAACAAATGTTATTAATAATGTTTTCCCATGCATGAACACAATCATTATTGGTTAATTAATTCTTAAGCATAAAATCCTTGACCACTCTTTGGTTATGATGATGGTTTGTTTTTGTTTTGTGTTTTTTTTAACTTTACTTTGGTTCAATACGTTCGGAAAAGTAAATTGAATAGCGAAAAAGATATGTAGACGTCGTACGATTGAGGCATGCATGAAAAATTATCACTAGTATTAATTAGCTATACGTAATAATTATACTAACTAATAATGACAGTAAATAAAAGCAAAAGAAATTCGTGATGATGGGTTTGACACTACTACAAAAACGACCAAATAAATCCCCTCGATTATTTGCATCGTTAAGAGTATCCACAATGGCAACATCTCTCATTAGATGCCCAAGTGTGAGTTCCACTATAAAGAGCACCTCTCTCAACATCTTATTCTTTCAATGGTAGCATCTCATTTAGATGCTTAAATATCTATTCAATTAATATAGTAGGTCCACTAAAATATATTTATATTTTATTTTTTGTTAATTATAAGTATTTAGTTATATACTCCCTCCGTCCCATAAAGTGTTACCCATTTTGACTAAAGTTAAAATTAAGGGAGGGATAATTTTGTGTTGACTTTCCAAACATTTCCTTGATGTGATGGGTAAAAGTAGGATGTGATGTGTAGATTATTATGAAAAAGGTATGATGTGATAGGTAGGGTTTGAAAAAGTAAGGGGTCAAAGTGGTTTTTTAATAGAAATGGGTAAGGGATTGTGGGACACAATTTTTTTGAAACGTGTAAATCTTTTTGGGACGGAGGGAGTAATAAATTACGGAGTATTAATTATACAAAACTTGAAAATGTTATATTGAAAAAAATTATTCTTTATATTTTAAAACTAGTTTGTTCTCCATCAATATCAAAAAAATCTAAAAACGACCCATTTGGATGTAAATCCATTTTTTAAGAAAAAAAATTCTAATTTGCAGCTATTTGTAAAAGAACATTTACTTAATATATTTATTGGAATTACAAACAAAAGTCATTGGAAAAGTATTTAAAAAGAGAGCTATTTAAGAAAATTGCCAAAAAAAGAATTGAATATATATATGACACATGGCACATAATCATTGGACCACAAAACTAAAGAAATAAATGCATGGAAACCCTTCCCCCTCAAGCACCGATGCTATGTGAAGCATCCCCCTCTCTTTTTCTTCCTTGAACATCTATAATGAGCACCCACCTACAACAATAGCATCCAACAACATCTCACTCTCTCTCCTCCTAGCATCTCTTGTAGGCATGCATCCCATTGGAGATGGTCTAAGCAAAACAAACGATGTAAATGTCAAAAAAAATTCGCGTAACGCTTAGCTTTTGGATCGGTTATTTCTAATAACCGATTCAAAAGGTTATTTGAATTAGTTATTAGGAATAACCGATCCAAATGCTTATTAGCTTTTTGGATCGGTTATTCCTAATAACCGATTCAAATAACCTTTTGAACCGATCCAAAAGAGTCTGATAAAACACATCCAATCCTACCTCATCCTTACGCGATTTTGAAAAAATTAAAAAACCTCCAAACCCTTTCTTTGTCTTCGTCGTGCTCGCTCCTCGACGTTTCCCCCGTTGCCGTTGCTGTTGCTCGTCGTGCGCCTCGCCATTGCCGTTGTCGTTGCCTCGCCGTCGTCAACTCCCCAGCCACGCCGTCGCCGTGCTGCCTCGAAATCTGCTCCACTTCGCCCTCGTCCACCTCACCCTCGCCGTTCGCTGTTGTTGCCTAGCCTCACCGTATCCGTTGCCTCGCCGTTGCCGTGCCGTTAGCTGCCCCGCCTCGCCGTCGTCCCTTCTTTAAGGTATTTTTTTAAATTTTGGCAGACTTGGCGCCATTTCTGGGAAGAGCTTTTTTCATCGGTTTTACAACCGATGCAAAAAGTAACCTGATCATTTGCATCGCTGGCTTTTGCATCGGTTCAAAACCGATTTAAAAGGGTTAAAATAACCGATATAAAAAAAAATTTGTAGTAGGTGAGTGCCTCATAAAAGTTGTCCTTTACTAATTACCTGGTACTCTATTCTTAAATGCATCGGAGCAACCATCAAACTTTAATTAATTAATTCTCACTATCCCAAAAAATAGAAGACGAAAAGACTAAAATAGGTTAAGAGTATGTACCAATATAATCCTAATCATATATGATTTTTGTGTTTTTATTATTGAAATAGGAGTTAAAATATATAATTATAGTGTCAATCATGACTATATTCATTACCAAATAATATGGTGAAATTTTATGTACAGTGCATGTCACATTACCACAATACGAATTTCTATTTTAGAGATAAAAAAGAAACTTATATTTTAATATTTTCTCTATGTTTTATTTTTATTTATGGTGATTTCTTAAAAAAGAATTCCAAAGTTAGAGAGTACTATTTGTTATTTACTCTTCCATTCCACAAAATATATATTTCAACTTTCTCATCTTTTCAGTATCATAAAATATTTCAATTTTCCAAAATAGACTAAAATACCCTCTTTAACCCTATATATTTTCCCACATCTCTTTAGTCACATCTCGTGCTTTTTGTTTTTTAAAAACTCCTTCCCATTATATTTTTCTATTAAACACCAAAATCACCCAAAAGTCAAAAGCTGAAATAAATCTTCTACGGGATGGAGGGAGTATATTATGATTAACACATGAAAAATATCAAAATAGAACTTGCATGTTTTTATTTTCAAAATATCAGTTTAAAAATATATTTTAATACTTTTTTGTATGTTTTTTAACTCTCTTATCTTTAGAGAGATTTATTGTTGGGATTGATTAATTAAAAAGAAAAAAAAAGGAATATGCATGCATACACATAATGCATGTGAAGTGGACCCATGATACCATGCATGTGAAGGGGAGTTAATTGTCTCCTTCCCTTGTTTTTGGAGGTGTACGAAAGTAATGGGATGTGGATGCTTTTTTTTTTCCTTCACCTCTTATAAGAGGAATCTTTTTCTATATATTTGGGTATGAGTTTTACACACGGGTATAGGAGAGGGGAAAAAGAAAAACAAGAGGAAGGTTAAAGAGAGAGGTGTTACACAAGATATCACCAACATTGTGTGAGTTAGTGTATGGACTATGGAGTAACTATTATTTAGTTACTCGAAAAATACATCCAGGTGTAGGGTGTGAAAAGTCTATTTAAAAGTGTCTGGTATTTAGCACTTGTAAACAGGGAGAGTTTTTTGTGTATCGTTCTGAAATAGTGAAGATATAATTTTTCTCTCATATTTTCTTTTTGTGTAGTGTGTTTATTTATTTTTCACGTTCTTGATATTTTAAGAGTCTTACGCGCTTAAAATCCCAACATTTGTTTTGGTTTTTGATGTATACAAGTGCCTCATAGATTACTAGCTCATTAATTTGGCTTTCCATATACTGCATTTATTCCCCGTGTCTATTATTTACAAGACCATAAAGCAGAGATTTTGCTTTGCTTTTTCAAAGCTTGAGACCAAAGAAAAAATATACTGCACTTATCGATTAAGAGATGAAACGTTCCTAGCTCACTTGTGTGTGATCGAATCAATTGAAACAAAGTGTGAAGAGTGAAAATTTTATTTTTAGCATGAGTTTCAATTCAATCTTTTGCGTGTTAAAATAATTCAATTTTTATAGTATATACGGAGTATATTGTAGGACTCATCTTGCCAAATTGATATCTACAAAATTCAACAGATATATCCAAAGTCCAAACACCACACTTTAGAGAAGAGATTCCAATTTGGTTGATTGATTTATTAATTTTATTTTTATTTTTGGCCAAAATCTAATAAGTACATGTACCAACAAAAACAAAAACTAACATTAAAACGGATTTGTTTTCCCCATTGGAAAAGGTGAAAGCTTGTTGGGTAGAGAGAGACAAGGAAACAGAATGGGCTCCAAAGTCACAAAGCTTAAAGGGCCGACACGACAGTCTGCGTGCCCCGTGGCAATCAACTCCTTTCTCTACTTTTGTTCTCGTCTGATTTAATCTGGTCTAATCTTTGATTAAAATTTATATGATTTGATTGGATTTGATGTGATCTAATTAGATCTGGTCTGATTTTAATAAGAAAAAATAATAAGCTGAAAATAAATTGAACGGAATGGACCCTTACTCATTCCCAAATAAACACCATTAGCCACTAACAAATATACAATAATTAAAGCAAATTAAATGGAGAGAGAGTCTCCTATAATATCATCGCCTTAACACTATGTTTGGTTCAAGGTTCCACTTTTATTTTCTTTTTCTTTCTAACCAAATAAGAAAAATATTTTCCTTCTCATTTTTTTCCTTTCTCTCTCAAATTCCTTGAACCAAACATAGTGTAAATGTTATGTGCCGAGTAAAATGTACTCGGGAGAGGTATAACTGGATCAGACAATACGATACTTGAGCTAAACCACATTAAGAGATTGATTTCAATTGATTACCTAGTTCTACTCGAGAGCTTATATACCCATTATTTTTTTCACGCTTTTCCGATGTGGGATACTCTTTAACACTCTCCCCAAGTAGACAAATGGACTATTTTGAATCTAACCAGTTGATCACTTGCAAACAAACTTTCATCTTCTTGATTTTTTAGCGCTAATACCTAGGGGACCACGAGTCTGCCAAAAAATCATTTTTTGGGTATGCTTTTAGGTGTGTCACTATTTTTTTCTAGAGTCAAAAGTAAAGAAAATAAAACAAACTAAAAAAGGTTGTGGTAAAAAGACATTCTACCCGTGCGAACAATTATTGTTTTTATTCTTCTACCATACGGAGTGTATATATATATAGTATTGCGAGTATTATTATTAGCCTATATTTAATCATTTTTAAATTCTTCTAGCTATTTGATGAATATTCTTAGCTAGCTAATTAATACCAAAGGTTTAATTACTAAGCAACAATTTCAACACATGTATTATTATTTTAATGCGTGGGTAAAGATCTGCAAATCTAGCTAGAGACGGTCAAAAAAAGATGAAATATAAAAGTATTAATAGTGTGGAAAGAGTAGTGAAAAAATGAACTGCATTGACAACTCTTTTCTTTTAATTTCTTTATTTTATTTCCTTTGTGGAAATTAAGAAAAGGGACAACACTACACTACACGTTCCTCATAATTCATGGCTGAAATAGTAGTGTATGATTGTGTCTACCACTGGTGAAGACTTGAGAGGAGAATAAATAAATAAATAAATAAATAAATAAATAAATAAATAAAGTAAATTGAGTTTCATCAGATCAGCTGAACGGCCACATTAAAGAAAGTAAATTGAATTTCAATTACTCATTGATTGAAAAAGGGTAAAATTTGTGTGTGTGTAATATCTGATACTTATAGATGTATATGTTTAATAATATAGTTGTCTCGCGTCATTATTTTTGACCAGAAATCAAACTCAGGTGTTATCCTATTTGACACTCCTTACTGAGTAAATTGTGTCCCGCCCTTGTCGGCACACCTAATGTTCCCAATATTTGATATGCGCGCACACACTCTCTAAAACGCTACTCTCGAGCGATTGTAGTGAGTTGTTGTTACTGGATTAACTATTAAGTTTATTTTGCAAATTCAATTCAAGTTTTATTAGATTTGAATTAAAGAACTTTACGTAGGGGTATATATGTTCGGTTTAGAATTTAGGATATATTTCCTCCACAAAATTGGTTACCCTATAACTTAAAATCTCGCTACCCAATAATTTTTGTTGACTTGCATATTATAATTGATTATTTGTTGGGGTAAATTACAGAAATGGTTTCTTATGACAATTATTTTTCTTTAATTTGACATTACAATTGTAAATCTCAATTTTTGATATTATTCCATTATAAGCCATTAGAGAAATATATGGGGGAAATACTCTATATTTGGCTATAGATGACCTAAAAGACTAATTATAGAATAGTTTTTAAAAAGTTATGGATCACTATTGTTATATTTTAAAATTAGATATTAAATATGGAAAATCATCTGTCACAAAGGACCATTATAGAATTACTCTTAAATAAAATATATCTGTCAGCTCTTATTTATTGAATTTTTGACGTAATGTTTAATTTGTATCGTAGTTATTTTTAAATTTCTACAATAATTTTAAAATAAATAAATTTAGAAAAATAGAATTTATACATTTATCAAGAGTGTGATCAATATTGGGACACATAGAGTAAAAAGTTATCTCGTACCAATTACTAAATATCGAACCGACCATTCGATTTGATCCAAATATGATTTTTTTTTCCTTTTTTTTATTTTTGGTTTTGCATATTTGGATTCCATATTTTATGAATTTTATGAGGAATTTTGGGAATTGTTATCAAGAAGCAAAATACAAGAAGAAGAAAAAAACACATAATCCGTTAACGGTTCGTGTAACCGGCGTTTGCAACCCAAAAGCTGCCATCGTCACCGCAGACTTTACGAACTCCGCAGCAACTCATCGCCGTCCTTCTTCCTCGAACTCTGCGTCTTCTGAGTTCAATAATCCGAAAAATCCCCCACTTTTTGGTGGGAACGATTTCCCGAATAGCTCAATCGAAAGATTCCCCGTAGAGAAATGCTGCGCACAGAACCGTCCTTCGAGATCTACAGTTCCGACGATGGGCTGCCGCCGGGAGAGACAGATCACGAAGATCTGATCGAAAGAGAGGTCGCGGGCATCAGGGAGTTCAGTTTTCGGACGATCGATGAAAATGACGGCGGCGAAGGAGAGAATGAACGGGAAGAAGATGCGGAAGATGAAGATAAGTCTAAGGATTTGAGATTTGACGGGCCCGGGGATGGGGATGAAGAAGAGATTGGGAATTACTGCAAGAGGATTCTCAAAGACGATCCTTCCAACCCTTTGTTTCTCCGGAAAGTCGCTCAACTTTTGCAGGTCATCTCCTTCCTTCTTCTTCTTCTTCCAATTGAGTCACATTTGCAATTTATTTCTCTTATCATCCCTTATAAGAAGAGTAAACTTGTGTTCTGCCATCAAACAATAAAGGTTTAGACCTCATTATGAATGCAGCGCAGCATTTGGGGATTTCTGGGATTGTTATGAGATTTCGGGTGATTGATCTATGTGTTAGTGTTGTTAAAATCTAACACCATTAGTTTTATATAAAAACAATTCCGAGTTGGAGATCTCAATATTGTCACTTCTCAAGTGCAATTTGGATCTTTTTTGCCTCAAGTTTTCGCTGGGTCGAATTGGCCCGAGCTTCTCTTTTGAGCTCATAAGCATTGTTGGAATTGTCCCGAGCTTCTTTTTTTGAGCTTCTAAGCCTTGCTCCAATAGACCCGAGCTTCTTTCTTGAGCTCCTAAGCCTTGAATTTGATACCATGTAGATTTGCAAAATCAGAAAACAAATTAACTATGGGAAGAGTGACTTCCATTCATATATAGGGATTATTAGTCCTTTTATAGTCTGTGTGTTCCATGTGATAGTTTATATCCTCAACAAGAAAGCGAAATAATGTGATCATCATAATGGGGTGCAGTCAAAGGGAGATACCGCAGGAGCCGAGGAACATTATTTTCTTGCTACTCTCTATGATCCTAAAGATGGTGAAACTCTAATGGAATACGCTAAGTTGGTTTGGGAGCTCTTTGGTGATAAAAATAGAGCCTTTTGTTATTTCAAGCGCGCGGTTCTTGCTGCACCTCAAGATAGGTAATTAATCTTAATTACTATTTGCATTATTCTCTCATGTTATCATCACAATATGTTCTCTATGTCTTGAATATCATTCGACGATCCCAAATTGGTCTCCTACATTGTATTCTAGTTAGAAAACTCCCAAAGTCATCCCAACTCTGACCCCCGTTTTCACCCCAACCTTCTTAGAGACATTGAATAGTAAGTAGTAACGGTGTTTGTGGAATTGTGGATGTCTATGCGAAGGTGGAGTGAGAGCTGGGAAGTCTCTAGTATGGTTTAGCATGTGCTTTTCTAAACCTGGGAATGACTTTTCTTTTTTGCCTTTCCAGCCATGTTCTTGGAGCATATGCTAGATTTCTATGGGAAATTGATGATGAAGACGATGAGGTTTCTTGCACGCGTTTAGAAACTTTCTACTTTTCCATGATAGTAAAGACGATAAAAATCTAAATTTCCCTACATTTTTCTTGATGTTGATATGCAGTTGAAAGAAGGGGCGTCCGGAGAAGAAGATGAATATCATCCAGGTGCAACACTGCAAGCTGACGCCAGTGATGGAGAAATAATCTCAGAATATGCAAAATTCATATGGAAACACCAACAAGACAAAGAAAAAGCATCATTCTATTTTGAGAGAGCAATTCAGGCTTCTCCAGAAGATAGGTATGGAATATTATTATCACCTTCACATTCCCAACAAATACAGTGGGACAGAAAGAGTATTAATATTAAAGAATCAAACTCGCGTCTTTTACTCTATTTTCAGCAACGTGAATGCCGCATATGCAAGCTTTCTATGGGAAACGGAGGAAGGATGAAGATGACGATGGAGGGTTCATAAGAACACTTGGTCAAGACAATGGAGCAGCAAGTTAAAGTCTATTTTTCATAATCAAGAGGCAAAGTTTAAAATGAATATAATGCCTTAGAGTGTATGTTTGCAAGAACTTGTTTTAAGATCTAAATAAGTTATCAAGTTTTGTTAATTCTTGTGATACATCACAAGTTAAATAAATTGATAACTGATATATATATATATATATGTATTTATATTCATTCAATTTTTTATGTATCACAAGAATCACAAGTCATTGATGGTGACTATTTTACTCGTACAAAATAACTTCACCCATTCATCTTCTTTTACCTTAGAATTAAACAGGACAATGGGATACTTAGAAACTTGGGGTTAAAAAAACCATGGACTCCCTACCACGAATATGTTTATATATGAAAAGCTAAAAGCAATAATATGTTGAAACACTTCCAGCATATGTATATATAGGGTGTTGTCATATCCATTTCCATTTTTTTTGCCAAATCCACCTCTTTTACGATGATAAATAGACAATTTTACCCTTAAAAGTAAAAAAGAGGAAGTTTAAATGTAAACAAAATTTTAAGGACAAAACTGTCTATTTAATATGTAAAAGGAGTGATTTTGGCGAAAATGGGAGTAGATATAATAACACCCGTACACGAAGTATATAACGTGTACTAAAAAAAATATACTAGTGTGCATCAACTATGAATTAATCTGATCTGTTGTGTCCATTTCTCGAACCATAAGAAAAAGCTCTTTCGTGGCGTGGAGTTTGCCTGTGGAATCCATTGCCTCTCGAGGACGAAGATCGGTAGTCACCCCCGTCGTGACTATTCCCCCCACGGACACCAAAGCCCAATCCCACCCTTCCATCCGTCTGGTAATTTCCCTTCCCTCTACCACGTCCTCCTGTTTTTTTTAAAAAATATGATATAGTAATAGCATATGTATGTATAAAGGTAAGTTCTCATGGGATGAGAAAGCAAGCAATAAACTCCAAAACAATGGGAGCGAGAGAATAGTTAAAACCACAAATATACCACAAAACACCCACAAATAAGTACAAATAAGTAAATAAACTTTGTGTGGAAGGAAAAAGATACATACTTCCTCGGTATAAGCTGTTTCGGTTTGGTCTTCTACCTTCAATGTATAACTGGTGTCCATTAATTTCAACGAATGATGCCTGCAGTATATTTTCAAAGAGTATGATTTCGTTTCTTCTTATTCACTTTTTTCTATTTTTTTTTTAAGAATGTAATGGAACGATTGAGTGATGCAAGGTCAAACCTTGATTGCGTTTTGCACACTCATCATGTCTTCAAATTCAACAAATGCATAGCATGCATCAAAATCCTGCATCAATGTTATTCAGATATGCTAAATCAGTCCCCACTGTTTAAGAACTTTTAAAAAACTATTAGTGGCAATAAAATACAACCGTGAAGTTTAGGTGTGAAATGATATGCATACAAAGAGCAAACCTTTCGTGTTCTAATAGCCACACCATCAGGTTTTAGTTTACCAAACTTCTTGAATTCTTCCTCTATTTCAGAGGGATCCATCGTTGTTGGTACATTTTTCACATACACTGATTTCACTTCCACTGTAAAAATTGAAGGAAACAGAGCACAATTAGTTACTACCACTGTTCAGGAAAAAAAGAGGGGTACAACTTCAACTTTAGCATGGTATAACTATTGGAGATCTTAATTCTAGCTACACCATACATGTTTGAATGTAAATGTCTGTTTAACTCAACATAGAATTTTAACTTGCTTGAGAAACATAAGATTTAGAAAACATGCACTTCTTTATTTCAAACTATTAACAAGTAGTATAAATAAAGAAAATAGAACAAACTAACTTTCATCTTCCACCGATGCATATTCTTCAACGACTTCTTCCCCAGACCTCTCGGATGGCATGGATCCCAACCGGGTAGAGGGTTCTGATACATCTTGCCACTCAGATAAAACAGGTGCAAGCTTGTTGGAGACTTGCACAGGTGGTGCTTTAGCAACCTGTAGATTTAAGGATTAACAAACCCATGTAAAAACAAATTCAGATCCATAGTGTCATGCGATCCTGCATTCTTTAGAATTTTATAACAAAAAGAGAGAGAGAACTACATACGATAGAAGCATAAGTGTGTTTTTCGGGTTCTGCAAACGGTTCCTCAATTGCAGGGGATAAGTAATCTCGTGGAGGATTCATTGTACTCTGAAGTGAACCATTTGACTGCAACACGTAACTGTCTTCAGGGATCTTTGGAGCTTCAGAGACCTTCTGTGGCTGCTCCTCTGCAAATTGGTATCCATTGGATTGTCCATTTCCTTCAATGTTTGCAGGCAGCGGAAATTCCCTAGCCTGGATTTCTCCCCCCAACATGTATTTGGACACTGCAGAAGCAAATTAATAATCTTAAAATATAGGAAAGTGAGATTCCATCATGTTTTATACTACTATGTCATAAATATGCAACAAGCATTAAACTTTTGACCCTAATTTAAAACAATGATGTAGTTTACTATATTAGCATGAACGAAAGGCAGTACCTTCATTTTGAAATGCAGTTGGTGTGTGAATCATCTTGGAATCCATGCTGCCTTGACTTAAATAGGCTACATGATGTGGGATTATCATTTCTTCTTCAATAAAGTGAAAGATATCATTGAGGATGAAGTAACCGTTCTCCTGTGGCGCAAGGAAAAAGGTTTGTACAAAATTCCTTTTCCCGTTGAAGCCATTTATATGGACAGAGCCAGAAACCATCACTAGGACACCGCCATTCCATGATTCAAGGGAATGTGCAGTCTTGAGCTCTATCCTAGCGTAATCGAGTGACATGACAAGTGTGTGGATTTGCTGCAAGTACAAGTTTGAGGGGTGACTACAGATACATTAAATAAATGGATAAAGAAAAAAAGTAAAAAGATAAGAACATCTAAAAACACAAACCAAAGAGATATAAAAATACACCAAATTAATATGATAACATTGAAAGTGAAGTATAATGTGAAGGGTGACATCGAAGGCAATGTATAAAAGAGTGCGTAAAAACTTATTCCTGGCCTCTAAAATTATGTAGAGCATCAAAATATTAAAAGATAAAGCCAATTGAAATTCATTATGGTCATTAAAACAAAATTGATCTCAACTACTTGTGTTGTGAAAAAAACATTCTAGGTTATGGGCATAACATGAGGTCACAAAGCTCTATTTTTCTTCAAAACTAATACATCAAAGGAGGCCATGTGGGGAAAACACACCCAAGGCCAAACATCGGCATCAATCATTAATCATACAACATTTGGAATGACAAAACGGTTAATGTTACTCCTCTTTTAAAATACATTCAGATTGACTATACTTTGATTTCTCAAGGAGATCGAGAATGGAGAGGGAAATAATGAACAAATCTAGTTCAACCATATTCCATTCTAATTGAAGTCTAATAGTGGAAACCATAAATTAGAATTTTTTCAGAAATTGCCTAGTAATAAAAAACAAATCCTAGTGTAGAAGTGTTGTAATCTACACAATCATCTTACAAGTTGTGAATATTTCACTAGTTGAACCATCACAATTTAATCATTCACTAACATCTTATTTTTTGAACGTTGCGACTCATGAGAGGTCTAAAACCCACAAGAGATGACAAATAATAGAAGGGGTAAGATCCATTACAGGCATCCCGGAAGCAGCCTCCTTGGCATTGCCATCAATCCTAATCATAGTGCTGGCATTCCTGTAGAGCTGGTGAACAAATTCTGGCTGGTGTTGTAGTATCTGATAGTACTGTCCAACGAAGTATGAACCAACCTGACACACAATAACACTACTTGATAATCATGTACGAGTATATAACAAATCACTCCGCCTAGCCAATAAGAATAAAGCAAATGCTCGAATGCATTACTGCATCTTCATTTCCAGAAAAATAAATTGGGAAAAACATATCTACTACACACTAACTACTAAATACTAATCGCATATTAAGATACAAATTGGCTATGCATACATGTTTCATCCAATCTCCCTGCTGTCAGATGGTGATAAATGGATATTTAATGACTAAAATTAACATGAAAAGCCATAGAGAGACAGCTGAAAGGGAGCGCACCTGTGCAGCAGTGACGGGTAAGGAATACGGCGCGGCCATTGAAGATAGAGGAAGGCGGCGGCGGCGGAGGAGAGACTCCAAAACCCTAGATCTAGAAATGGCGCCGGAGAGATCTGAAGAGTGCGCAAAAACCCAATCCAATCGCAGGCTCCAGTTCACATTTCCCTTCGCAACTGCTTACGGTGCCACGAGAGAGAGATTGAGGGGGGGGGGGTGAAGACGGCAAAATCTCCGACGGGGAAGAAGGGGAGGAGAATCGCGCGCTGTGCGGCGGATGGATTGGCGGCGCTCAATCGCAGTTCCGCATCGCGCGGTGGCTAGTGGTTATGGAGGCGCTGCGGAGAGTTGCTGCCACGGGGTTAAGCTTTTGGTTTGGCTTTTTATGTGCCCCTCCGTAATGAATGTTTTCTGGCAGCGTAACAAATTTGGTAGCAAAAATATCACAAGGCAGGAAAAAAAACAGAATGAATGAAAAAATAGCCTCTGGTTTTTTAAGATTCCTCAGTTTTCCTTTTTAAATTGTTTCTCTCTTTTTTCTGTGCTCTTTTTTATATTTACTCTCCAGTCAGAATAATAAAATTTCACATAAAGAAAATCACTTCTATATTTGAAAATGGGGTTTATACTCCACTTTATTACTATCTCTATTTCGTTTGTCAAATTTTGATCATTAATTAAATAAAATTTATATTGAATATTGATATAAGAATAATTTTATTGGATTTATCGTATAAATTATTTTCAAAATATTACTGAAAGAAAAAAAATAAAGAGTTACACTTTTTAAAAGAATAATGTTTCAATGCACTGTTCAATATTTTAAAGAACTCAATGATATTAGTGAAAAAAATAAAAGGCAGTCACATTTTTGACAAAAATAAATAGTTTGTGACATTTTTTCAGTGCACTCTGATTGAAGTATTTATTGTTACTCATAACCTTCATAGGAATAATTATTTTGCTAACTTTTAAGCTAAATGTTGCCATTTAGAGCATTGGAAATACCCCTGAAGCCCCGAGGCTGCAAATTTTCTCTCTCTGTCACGTCAGTTTTAACTTACCTTACAGTTTTAATGGTATTGGGTTTGAAGCCCCGGAGCTTCAAACTTTCATTTTTACATTTTATATACGCATCTTCTAAAATTAAATTAATAAAATTTAATTATTTAATTATTTAAAAGAATTGAAACGAGAATAGTTCAATAAAAAATAAAATTCATTAAAAAATTACATTGATTATAAAAAATTACATTCATTAAAAATTACATTCATGATAAAATAAATAAAATGCTTGAGTAATATTTTTTTAAAGAAAGATGATAGATAGATAGAGATTTGTATTTGTGATGAATTTAAAAAAAATTGATTCAATTTATAGAGAAGAAAAGATGAAGAAATAAAGAGAAAAAGATTTTTTTTTATTTGTAAATAGCCGTTTTGGGGGGAAAGGGGCTCCAAAGCTTTCAAGCCGCGTCAAAACTTTGACGCAGCAACTTTAACGGGACAATAACAGAGGAGGGGACGGTGTTTAACGTCCCTTCTGCGTCAAAATATGCATAATGGTGGTGGGCGTCATGCCCATTACCACTGCTCTTAGCAAAAGCTTCAGTGTTTTAAAAAGATTGTATAACAACAATATCTAGTTATGACATTTTAATTAAAATGTTAATCTGCATTGCTAAATATAATCTAAAACGTTAAAGTTAATTGAAAAAACTATATATATACTTCTTAAATTAAAGTTTGTTAATGTAATTTAAACAAGGGGTTCACACATTTTCCTTAAAAAGTCAATTGTCTTATTTTTAAAAAACCAAAGGAGTCATAGTCTCCTAGGATATTCCCACTATATATGCAAAATAAAACAAATGAAAACTTTAATATAAAGTCCACATGACATGCATATTATATGGTTACTAGACGCATCTATGGAAATATTTATAAGTACAAAACCTAAATCCCACCAAATTAAACAACAATTAATCATGCAAGATATGGAAATGTATTGTTAATCTTTTATTAGTACAAGTAAAAGAGTAATATAATATTTCCACTAGAATTGTGCACAATTTTTTTTTTGGCCCAGAAATTTTACAAAAAATGGAAATGCTATCTATATATTAATTATATTATCCTCCCACTAGTACTGATTCTTCCTCCCTTCTGCTATGCTGAGGCGTACACCCCTCCCCTCCAGTTCCTGTGCCATTATAAATTTTGCACAGAAATGTTTCATTTTAGTATAAGAATAATTTTATTAGATTTATTTTGCATTAATATTTTTGAAATTCATTTCATTGTGTTACAGAAAAATATGCGATGCAACTTTAATGTACCCCGCCCATTGAACGTAACCCTAGCTAGTCCCCTGTTTTGCCGATGCGGTAGGCCTAAGGAGCTAGCTAGAGATTTGTGGGAATGGAAGGGAGTAGTGTAACTATTTCAGGGTCGAACGAGGGACCCTGAAATGGGCAGGTGTCATAATATGACACCAGCCCTCGGGATCAAAAGATCTGTGCTGAGATATATCAATGTGTGCGTACCATTCCATTGAGAGATTCAAGTGCTAGTTCCATCTCCCCGCGCGTTTCGTAGCTGACGAAGCCGTACCCGCGGGACCTACCGGTCTCGCCATTGTAGAGAACCCGGGCCCCGACGACATTCCCACATTTCTCAAATGCTTGTCTCAGAACATCGGACGTGACCGACCATTCCAAGTTGCCAACGAAGATCTTGTGTTCGGTTTCTGCGTGTAGAGGTTCCCTTGATTGAGGCTGGTTTGAGAAATTCACCCTCAATATTCTACCATCTAATTCCTGCAACATCATCATATTCAGTTGTTCTCTCACAAAGTTGAATCAGCTCAACCAAAAATTCAAACTTGTAGTTGTAGGTTTAGAAAATTAAAGATCTTTATATATATTCTATTACCGTATTATAAAACCGATGCTGAGATTTCGATTCTTACCACTCTATCCAGATTCTTGATCACCGCATTGCAATCTTCGATAGAACTCATCCTCACGAAGGCAAATCCTCGGCTTTTCCCCGTTTCTCTATCATATAGAACCTATACTCACCACATAGTATGAAAATTCAAGTCTTTTTTATGGTATTAGAGTTAGATCTTCGCGTCATAATTTTGAGAGAAAAAATATGGGTTAGTAAGATCTCAAATCGAAATGGATAACCGATTGGATTCAATTTTTGGCATTGACAAAGACCAATACCCAAACCATTGCACTTTACAATGCTAAACACTATACCAAACTAAGGGCCCGTTTGGCGACTGCAGAAGATATGGTGAACTTTGATATCTCACAAGATGAGAATCTTTTACGGGTGTTTGATGAAGTCTAAACAGATTTCGGATTTGATATCTCCCGATAACACAACCCTTCCAATCCATGATCTTAGATATCGCTCTTAGACTCCAACCGCCATCATTTTTAATCTATCCAAACACTTTCATTCGAAATTACAGAACTCATATCTTTTATGTGATATTTCAGAAATCACACTCGATCGTATCATATCAATCTCTAAAACTCACCAAACTAGCCCTGATTAATCATAATTAACAACTAATTCAATTCAATCCGACCAAATCAATCCAAACAGAGCCTAAGAGAAACACAAATCTTTGTACCTCGACAAGCTCCGGGGTCGCATATTCATGAACAAGCCCAGCAAGCTGTGCACTGTCACAATTGTACGGCAAATTCCCAACATAAAGCCTGCAACTATCATCACCGCCGCCGTCCTCCTCCTCCTCCGCCGCCGGAAAAGCAGCCGCCTCGACTTCCGCCACCGCGATCCTATTCGATCTCTTTTTGGTGAAGAAGAAGCGGACCATTCCAAGAAAGTGGGATTGCAGAGGCAATGGGAGCTGTGCCGATGATGGTGATGATGATGTCATCTTGACGGAAACGTTGAGCCTGAGGAGGTGGTTGGAAGTGGCGGGCCAGCTCTTGGGGCGGTTGAGGGTTTGAATCGTTGTGGAGATGGAGGAGGCCATGTCGCCGGAATAGTACTCCCGGTGGTGGTTTGCGGTGGCTGTGGGCTGATCGGGTGGTTATTGGAAATTAGAAGCGTCTTTGCTGTTGGGCGGGTATGGGTGAGGAGATATCGTTATTTGGTTTGCTGACGTGGACAGACATTGTCCAATGAGAATGCAGAGATAGACCACGGATAAGATATCGCGCTTTTGTTTGAGATAATTTCCCTTTAATTTGCATCCACTCCATCAATTCAAACCTTTTTTTTCAATCTAATTTCACTAAAATTTAAAAAGATATTACTTCCTAGGGCGTTTGGCAGTGCGCTTCTTTTAACAATTTAGCTTCTGCTTTGAGTGGAAGTGATTTTACTCTGTTTGGCATGTCAGCTTTTGCTTTTCACCAACATTATTTTGTACATTGAACACCGTTTCGGAGAAGCAGGTATGGGGTGCTTTTGCTTTCAGCTTTTGTAAAAATCACTTTATCAATAAGCTAATCACTCTCAAACACCCTCTAAATCACATGTTTCGATTTATGATGTTTGATTGATTTATTTTCCAAACTAGTTATTTGATAATTGGAACATAATTAAAAATTAAAATTTATGTATTAAAATATTACGTCAAATGCTATACGAAATAACATGTGACATAAATATATTACTCCATATTTTATTAAAAGAATAGCTATGATGATGTAAATTATCTAATTGGGTAAACAGTACTATACCGGGTCTATGATTGTATATAAGATTCAAGAAGTAAAAGGTAAAAACACACAAAGTAACTGGAAAGACTGTAGGTGGAAACACATGTAGTCCAATTAATATTTGAATATAGTCGAATGCACGGGAGCTTTTAGACGGGAGTTTTAGTGAGAAAAAATCAGATCCCTTCTTTTGAGGGTTACGACGATATTTATAGTAAGCTAGAGGAGACAAGGCGTCACACATCCACGTCGGGGCACGTTCCTAGGTGGTGCGAGATGATTGCCTCTGTCTCCTAGTGGCCTTGTCACTTAGTTAGAAAGGTGACTTCTTTGTCACTTAGCGCATTGGATTGATTGTTTGAATATCTCCAATGATTTTCCAATGAATTTGGCTGCTACAGCCCAATTTTCTTTGGATTCTTCCTTGCCGACACTATCCAACCCTAGAAATCATACCGGGTGATTTCCTAGGGATAGGTGTATTGAAATTGGGGATGAACGAGGGAATAAAGTAGTTTGACCGGTAGATTATTTGAAGTGTACCGGTCAAATTTATGGTCAACCGAATACCCTTTCACTGATGATTTAGGTCTCCATCCTGAAAAATCGACCTTGACCGGTTGAATATTTGAACGTCCTCTTTGACCAATTCTGGGTGGAATACACTCATCGAGCTAAATTAGAAAAAGAAATTAAATGAAGTTTTACTCTATGAGTAATAAACATAAAACTTAATTTGGTACAAGGTGAATAAAAAGTAAACAAGTAGGATTAGTGGATTACAATTTAATCATTATATTTTTTTAATAGAAAGAGAAAAATTAGGGGAAAAAATCAATAGAAATGTAGTATTAATTATAAAGACTCCTAATATAATTTGGTATTAAGTTTAAATAAATTAAATTGTGTAGTAAAAAATGATGCACGAGAGGAAGAAAAATATAAGCTACAAAAAGGTTATCTAAAAACAAAAAGATATTCTTTTTTATGTTCCAAAAAACATATGAGTTTTTTTTCGAGATGAAGTATGACTTTTACTCTGTACATAAATAGTAGGATCATTTTTTGCTAAAGGACTAAAATATAGATAAAAGAACTACGTAATTCACATTTTTTTAATTTTTAAATAAATAAGAGAATATTGCTATTGCATGTTCAAAAAAATATTGATATTACCTACACATATCATACCTCTCAAAGAATTTTTTAAAATAGTATTTTAAAGACATTTTCTCTTTAACATTATACTTTGATCACCTAGGAGTTGCCTGCGGCCTTAGCCCGGTTCTCATGATGCGCTACGGAACCTCCATTGTGTCGGGGGACCAAGCGGGTCATAGACTTATAGCTAGCGGCGTAGGCGCAACCTCGACATTAGCGGCTTCGTGCCACACTGGAGTGATCCAATATGTGGTTCCGCATGTTCCACAACTTCTCCGTTCATTTCCAATACTGATCGTGAAACACCATGAAGTTGTAGACTCCAAACCCTAGTTACTAGTGTTGGAGTTCTCACATCGGAAAATAAAGATTAGTATCACTTGCATATATTGAAGGGTGAAGCCCTACCTATCAGCTTAAGCTTTTGGGTTAGAATTGTGGATCCCGACTTTATATGCAAGTGGTTAATTTTACCCGACACTCTATCCGTTGTTCTTGGCCCGCCGGAATTTTAACAACTAGACTCAAGATTAGTTAAATTACACTCTAATCTCTCTAAACCTAGACATGATATCGAGTAATTAAATACTCTGGGTCAATAATTTTTGTACATATACAGCCACACAATTTGGTGGTTTTCTTGTGTGGAAATGACACTTTTGTCCTTCACTTGGACTGTTTGACTGTACTCGCCATCTTTCGTTTGACCTGAATGGCCGGCCCACCAACATCTCGGGCCTTTAAAGAGTTTTGGGCATTGATTGGTTTGGGAATCTCTTTGCATTGACTTTGGGCCCCTTTACTTGGACTACCCCGGCCTGGCCCACCAACATCTCGGGCCTTTAAAGAGTTTTTAGCATTGATTGTTTTACGAATCTCTTTGAATTGGGTTTGGGCCCCTTCACTTGGACTACCCCGGCCCAGTTTAGTAGTATCAACCTTGGGCTTGTCAAACGCCGTTCCCGCCATTTTATCATTATCGGGACTGGATAAAACCGCTCGTGGCCTTGACACTAAACCAGCTCTGGTTTTTGCTTCCATTTCACTTGAAGTTTTCTGGCTCTTTGAATTTCCTGCAAGTACAATTCTTGGTATGAAATTTCAACAAATTTTAAATTTGTTTCCCCTGGGGTATTTAAGAAGAAGAGGCATATATACTCTTATTAAACTATATATATATTCTGTATGTTTAAATAAATTTAAGAAGAGGAGACAAACTACAAAACGTAAGCGAGAAAAAACCTGTGGACGTAGAGGTTACGGGTTTGGAAGAACCCGAGATGTGCGCCGTGGGAATCCTTGCGATGGAGGTTGGATAATCGTCTGTGCATACAAAAGAAAACTAAGTAATGTTGGCGACTCCTACAAAATAATTCGACACTTATTTCGTAATTTATGCAAGCAATGTTTCGTTTAGTACTATTGTATCTATAACAATGATATTCGTTCATACATGACATACACTACAAATGAAGCAAAAAAGTGAATTTTCTCGTTGGGGTTCGAACATGTGACCTCCCATTTGGGAGAGTCGCACTCATAGTGCTGATTTACAACGTCTTTGGCGTAAACAATGTTCGTATTCTAAGAAATAGTTTTTATTATGTGTCCTGAGTTATCATTTCTCTATTAGTTGATCATTGCCCTTAAAACCCTTATATGTTTGACTGATAATTATTTGACACACATAGTTATCCTTACAACCTAATTAGACTTTCGACTTGAGTGTATATATATAGATCGAGACACCAGTAGGTAGAGGTTTAACACAACACCAATCTCGCTCATGCCTTTCTATTTTCGTGAGTCTCAAATCTCATCTTAGTCATCATAAGAATGCATCCTGAATAGGAACTCGATCCACATCAGAATCATGGCCTCATCCCGCAATGCATTTAGAGAATATTCAAGTACACATGATTTAGTTCTTGTATTCAATTATATGTTAAAGAATCGATCAATACTTTAGAATATGTTTTAGGATTTGATAGTTTTCCTATTCTTGCTACAGTATGAATAAAACCTACTTATTTGTTTTTCTCTCTTCTTATATAAAGAAAGTACAATCTTTGTAATCTTCAAGACAATTCAATATAGAATTATTTCCGGTTACTCCGTATTATTTTCTACAAACACATAATATCATATTTGGGCAACTTGAAAGCCCTGTGATGCCCTGTTAGGCAGCCAAATCTGTCTCACGTTTTTTAAAGAGACATAGCCAAAAACCTTTGTAATTAAAAAGACAAGAAAAACAGCAGAATATAGTCCAGTAATAGCATAATCAATGATACAAAGAAGAATGATTGGGAAAATACCTTTGGAAAGGGCATCATAGGACTTTGACAAAAAACCCAACCCATAACCATTCCCATCTTCTTCCTCCTCAACCTTCACCCTTACCTTCGGATACCCTTCGACCAAACAAAAACACACAAAAAAAAGCCCATAGATTGTCAGAACAGCAAACAAAACCCAGACCAGAAAGGGGGGTAAAAAAGGAACAAATATTATGGAGAAGAAGAAAGAAAACCCTACTTGATGATTTCTCCATTGCCATCTGTGCGAAGAAATTGAAATCCAAATCTGAGAGATTATTCAGAAAAGAAAATAGGAGAGTTTCAAAGGGCAATATGTGACATTGGAATGAGAGGGGTTTTCACAAGTGGCGTGGGAAGGCAGCAGGTTGCCGGCCGGGGCGAGGACAAAAAGGGGAATAAAAATGCCTCAACAGAGTAGAATATGGGCTTTGAGTGGATCCCATCACTTTCGGAAACTTCCTGGTTCGGTCAGCTACCGTTTGCGAATATTCTTTAGTCAAAGACAATGATTTTAGTCCTTTGTCACACTTCTAAAAATAAAGTAAAATATTAAAAAAAATTCAATTTAATTATTTAAATATCATATTTTGATATCTTCAAAATCAAAATTCTTTTTATATGAGATGTTTATCTTTATCCCATTTCATATAAGCATTAACGTTTTAAAAACGCTATCTGACGATAGTCTTTAACATATGCGTTTTCAGAATTAATCTACGCTACTAAAATTTTATCCAAAACGATTATGTTAATAAAAAACATTGTTTCCAAACAAAGCCCTCATCGACTACTTTCGTTGTCGCCTATTACTAAAATCCGTAACTTTAGACTCATCGACTACTTTCCTTTTCTCCTACTACTAAAAGTCATAACTTTAGATCTTTCTAAATATTCTCATTTCAAATTTCAAAAGATACTTTCTCACAGAGACACTATTTACATAGTTTAATTTTATTCACTATATTTATTGATTTTTATTATTTATTTTATAAAATAGTATAATCATATCTTTTTTTTATTTTTTATTTTTTGTAATTTTTTTGTCTAGTTTTTTTACGTTATAAATATTCTTTTTTTTCAATTTTTACCCTTGCAACTAAAATACACTGAATTGAAGAAGTACAGATCTCAAGGTCTGCTGCGGCTCCGGGAGGGATGTTGATGAACAGAGCCGGGCGGAGGTTCGAGCAGAAGATCCGGCACTTGCGGACCGCCGTACAAAGCCGCGGAGAAGATGAAGGAAACTGGCTCTACTCTTCCGAGTGGTGGGACAGCAACGGCACCGATGGCAAAACTGTTTTCCGATCAGTTTCCGACAAGGGAAACGGCGAAGTTTCCGTCTTAGCTTACCCTTCATCCAAACCAGTTCGCTCTCCTCTTCCTCTAACTTTAATTTTTCGCATTACCGTGTTTTATTGCATGCCTATACTCCCATTGTTATTGATCATAAATCCGTTCATGTCTCGTAGTTGTTTGTCGATTGAATTAAGAAATTTGTGTGTGAGAGCTAATTGAAGTATCTAGTGGTAAAAATTAGGGTTTGATGTTTGAATGCTGATTCATGAATTGAATAGAAAGAGCTTATTTAAATGTTTACTAACTATACTTTCAGTGTATAACCATTGTGTTTGCTGAGAACCTCTTTTGTGATTGAGTTTGCGGAGGGGGGTTTAAGTGAACACATTGTATGCATCTCTATGTTCTGTGAAATCCCTTGGTTTTTTTGTCAATAAATTTATTTTACTTTTCGTTCTTAAGTTCTTCTTTATTTATTTATACTACGTATTACACAAACATTATGAAATCAAAATATGTGTGAAATGTTTGAAAAGAATGATCATGTTTCATTTTTGTTTGAATTTTCCATGGTAAAATCAAACATATCAAGAAAATAATTTCCTCTAAAATTTCGAGTTTCTTCTGTGATCCAAAGATACCCTAAAATCTATTGCAGGACAAAGTTTACTGGGGGAGAACAGAGAAGTGGCTACAGGAAAGGTTTGCTGAGTTACATCCAGGTTATAATGGACACCATGAGAATTTCAAGATTCTTGGTTACCAGTGGCGAGCTCTTCGATTTAATGAAGAAACTCGCCAGAGCACTGTTAAAGTAATGTCTTTTTACAGAAAGTCAGATCCGGATTCTTTGTTCTTGATGCAGCAGCCACATTGCCTGGCCATTCCATGTAAGGATGTATGTCATATGATGTTTCAGTTTCAGGCCAGCTTGTTTTTTTTTGCCAATATGATTTAATATATCTCTGACCTAGCCACACAGGGCATTTTAGGAATTTTAACTACACCTATTTTTACTTGTTCAATGACGTTACCCGGCTTACCCCTGTTTTTATCATTTTATGCACAATAAATGGGTTGTTCAATAGAAATGAGTGATTAGTTTTAGCTTTCATATGCTTAAATGGCAATTGAAAGTCACTTTTGTTGGATTCAGTTTTATGCAGTACTCATCTATATTACTCTTTTTCTGTTGGGTGTTCTATGTAACTTGTTATTGTTTGTGTGTTTTTTGTTGCTTGTGATCCAATGGTATTTGAAGAGATAAAATTGCTCGATTCATCTTATGGAAAGGATGCTTTGTTGCTTTTCTTTCTCATGATGTTTGTAGATGTAAAGAGTATGATTTCTGCTGGGCTAGCTACTATCTCCTCTTGCAACTATGATCTCCGGAAAGCTATATGTGGGGCGAAGAAGATGAATATCTTGTGCATAGGTCATGGTGGAGGAAGCATACCATTATTCTTAGCAAGTAAAATTCAAGGTAACTAGCTATTTCCATCTTGGTTCTTTATGTTATAACCACTTGACATAAATCATACGGGAATTTTAGCGTTAGCGTTTTGAAAAGGCTATCTAAGGGTAGCCTTTAGCGTTAGCGTTTTCAGAACTAATCTACACGATTAAAATTTTATTCAAAACGCTAAAACTAGTCGAAAACCCTGTCTTCAAACAAAGCCATAGACTTGCTAGAGTTGGGTTTAATGATAATCTGTATGCCATAGGTGCTATGGTGCATGATGTTGAAATTGACCCTACTGTCATCTCAGCTTCAGTGCAAGCCATGGGGTTCCCATCTTCTTCTTCACTTGTGACTTCTCCTCCATCTACCAACTCCATCCAAGAAATGCTATGGAAAGGAACACACGAGAGGATCCGTTTGTACGAATCAGACGCCGAGCATTTCATTGCGGACCCCACCCGTCCCCATTACGACATCGTGTTCATCGATGCATATGACGGCGACGATGTCTTTCCCTACAAGCTCTGGGACCCGCACTTCCCGTTCCTCAAGGCCCTAGGCGACCGTCTCCACCCCGAGCACGGGACGGTGATTGTGAACCTCCACTCGGACGTAGACTATAGGGACACCGCCGCCGGTGGATCCGGCGACAGCAGCCACTATTTGCCCATGGGCCCCTACATGAAACAAGTGTGTGGGGCCTACAAGGAGGCGTTGCTCGGGAATGGGAAGAATTCGGACGGTGTGGCATACGCCGTTTCTGTGCCGTGGGTGTGTAACACGTCTCTCGTTGTAGCTAGGGGTTTCGGAAAAGGTGAGAGTGGAAGTTGTTTAAACAGAGAAAGTGTTTTGAATACACTGATGAGCAAAGCCATTGAAGTTGAGAAAGCTCTTGGCTTGCCGTTTTTGTGTTTGGGATATATCAAAAGAGGCTTTACTCTTGTGGACTGAAATTTTGATCTATCATTTGTTCTTTACATAATATCTTCTTTTTATCATTCGAGAACACTAATGAATAATGATGTTTCAAATAACACTCGATTTAAGATTGAAAGTAGAACTCTTTTTCGTGTGGCAATGTCGTACGAGTACTACAAATCAATGGCTTAACATTAAAAAAAACATACAAAAACATGTAGAAAGTGCTAATGAAGACTGAAGGGCAGAATTGTGAGGTGAGAATTAATCGTCTTGTAGACGACCTTTGTCCCCGGGCAAACCGAATATTCTGAGATTTCTGTCCATTGATCCCACCGCTATGTATTTTGCGTCCAGGCCGAATTTCAGACATGTGGCTTTGCCTGTGCATAAAGAAAACTTAGAATGGACAATCCTGTAACAGAAGTAAATATTGGATCTTTCGAAAGAGAGTAATGTACGGCATTGTTTGGGGTCAAACTTTGCAATTAACGTCAGAGTTTTGGATAATTTGTTAATGGTACAAATTAACATTGAAAATGCTAAAATTAAACACTATTGTTAGATAACTTTTTCAGAATGCTAAAGTTATAGCCAAACATGCCCTATACCTGTGCCTGACAAGTCAGGTAATGTTTTGATGCTATTCCATTCCGACTTGACACTTGCAACTTGATACACCCTGCAACAAAATCAGGGAATGATGACGAGCGGGCAATACAAGATTTAAACATTTCACAAAATATTTATAAAATGTTTGTAAAGAACGGAAATTTCTACTCAAATTTCACCTTATATCTGAGCCTCCCAATGCCAGGTAACTTCCACTGTGGTCAAATTCCACTGTAAATGAAGCAAGCATCAGGACACAATAACCAGGAAGTTCATTATCGTTAATTCATTATTTCAGAATCTAAATATGACATGAGCAAAAGAAAGCCATGGAACCTTATGTTGTACATATGTAATGTTTATGTGCATATTAAAAGACCACAACAGAAAAATATGTGAACAAAATTATACCGGTTTGGGTTGGTGTATTTTCATCATAAGAAGGGAAGTTCCTGAAATTCCTCAATTTGCGTAAATCCCAGAGCTTAACTCCGTCTACAGCTGCAGTCTGAGAATATATTTATCATCTTAAATCGCACACCATTATATTTTATAAACGAGCCCTGGTCAAGGAAATGTTTGCTAAAGAGAATACTTACTGCCAAGAAATAACCATTTTCAGAGAAAGAGAGGGATGTGACAGCTCCAACATGGCCATCAAATTGTGCGACAACTGCCTGAATAAAATATAATTGAAAATTTTAATCGTTGGTTGTTTAAGATAATGGGAAGTGAGGAGAAAAACAAAAGAGGAATATATATTCTATGAAACATAGAAAGCACACCTGACTCTTTACATCCCATATCTTTACGGTAGCTCCTGCTGTGCCAGTTCCAAGAATCAGACCATCCGGATGAAAGGCTGCAGACGTATAGCCATCAGATTCTGAAGGGTCTCCGATCTGCCAAAAAACAAAGAAAATAGCTTAATAATCTAACAGTCCAGAAGTAAAAGCATGTAAGGGGAGGGGGGGGAGATAGCGTGTGCAGTAATAACCTGAGCAAGGCATAAACCTGAAGAAAGCCCATAAAAGCACCATGTATTATCAAGGGAAGCCGTAACAAAGTAATTATTGGTTGCATGAACAGTGACAGATTGCACCTGGGATTATTGAGAAAACTAATCATTCAACTTTATCAGTTACTGACTACATTATGAAGTATTATAATTATAATTTTGTCTACAGGTCTCTTGAAAAGATGAACTGTGTAAAGTATTCAAAAGATTCCTGAAGGCTGAAGAAATTCTTCAGATTTTTAAAATATGTTTACACATTATTCCATTAACTGTAGCTTCCCGGTTAACATCTTTAAGGGCATAAAAGAACACATTGAAACAAGATAGGAATTAAGATTACTTTTGATATTAAATAAAGGAAGTAGGTTTATGATTGATCATCAGTTCATTACGAGGATGGAGTTTAGCCAACCTCAGCTGTGTGATCCTTCAGTACATGTCTACAGGCATAGCTTCCATCTTCAGATCCTTGCCATAAACGGACAGTCTGCAAGACAGAATGAAAAATTTGACAGACAAAAATATCAAACTACAGGAGAAGTATACTAAAAAGTCTTGCATAGTATGATGGATTAGGAATATAATACTGTGAATAGCGCATAAGCTAGGTATTGCAATATAAGATATATACTGTGAATAGCGCATAAGCTAAGTAAAATACAGACAAAGAATTCAATGTGTAACTTGTAGCACGGGAAACAAAAACTTAGAATCAAGAAAGATCAGACCGCTTCACCTTATCAGCAGAACCTGTAATCACAGTTTTGCTTTCACGAGCAAATTTCACACTGTTAACCTATAAAAAAAGAAAATGTGAACCGTAAAGATGTTAATAATTAGGAAATGCAATAAAGCATTTTGAAACATGCAAGTCTGGAATCAAAGTGCATTAATCAAACAGACCCTCTTTGAATGACCACTTAGTGTAGATATTATCTGTCCTGAATTGTGGTCAAAGACAACAGCATTAGTGTCGACTCCACCAGTAGCAATGATGTCCTGATAACCAAAGCACAGGGTGAGAGAGAGAGAGAGAGTATAAAAAATAAAAAGAATATTACAACCAAGACAGGCAGCTCATTGCATAAATAACCAATACAAATCCCCACCTCTAAAAGTGAAGGAAAAATATCATTGTTGTGGTATGTGTATATATATTTATTTTATAAAGGAGCACGCCCATATGAAATTGAAAAGTATAGTGTAAGGATCATTTATGACTGTTAGTTTAGTTCTTTCATCCCTGAAAGTGTGTTCTGAACCAACAATGCTTCATTTGCATCTTAAGATTGCACCAATGAACAATAGTGCTTTACAATAAAGTCAGAATTGTAATTCCACTTTATTTGGAATTTTATCAGCTTAAATGACTTGTGAAAAGTATGAAGTATTGCATCATGTATCACAATTGCATTTACCTTAGGGCAATAGATATCCAAAGATAGTATCCCTGGTTTGTTGGTTTTGTGAAGAGGGTGACTATTCAGCTGGGTGTATCTCTCTAGACTGTCTATAGAAGCCAATGTTGGTGGAATCTGGAGTGGAAATGGAAGTAATGCCAAGAAGAGAAAAACATCAACCTATATTCTGAATTCTTAATATATTAAAAATTTTAAGATGATTTACCTGTCGCTTTTTCCTATGCTGTGAAAGGGTGGTATTACAATCTGACAGCTCTGTAATAATTGCTGATGAAATTCCTGGACGGATTTTTTTGCCTCCGGGATCCATCTCCGTATCTTCAGCGACTATAAGTTTAATAAGAAAATTTAACTGTGCAAGGTTAGACATTTAGAAAAAATAGAAAATCGGATATTTACAAAGTGCAAAAGGCAATAACCTCTTTTCCCATTGCTTAATGTAGCACTTGCAGCAACTTCCATGGCTGCTGTGTTGGGTATCTGTCTTTCAGCCAATGCAAGCAACGACCTTGCCTCATCCCTTTCTTTTTTCAACCTTGCAATCACACGGCAAGCAGCATCATGCTGCCAAAAGCCCAAAACAAGACACATTATTCAGAAATCACACAGATATAGAAGTTGGAAATGGCATTCTTTTGAACAGAAAAGTAATGAGTTAAGGAAAAAGGGTATAGGTGGAAGAAATGAAACCACAATGTGCAGAATAGAAAAGTATGTGAGCAACAAAAGCTTTTTACTCGGTACCAGGTAGGAAATGGACAATTTAAGGTTACCTGATATAGTGCATGGCTTAACTCCTGTCTTGCATTATGCAATTGGCTCTCCAATGCAAAATTGGATAGCATCAGAGCATCCCATTCCTGATTGGAAGCATGACAGATATAACAATTAAATAGCAATTCATAAGTAAAGAATAAGTCCCTCAAATGACGAATTATTAATCCCAACTGAAAATAGAATGTGTGAATGCATGCAATTGAAGCATACAGAAATAGAGTTCAGAAAAATGATTGTATATTACTACGTAAGTGCTAAGCTGTACACACTCAATTCACTAATTCAGCACAGCCCTTATTGCTGATGGGCATGTGGTCTGAACTGAGAAGCGATGGAAGGTATGAGAATGTATACAATTCAAACAAATGCTAAATAAATGGATTCATGGAAATAACACATGTGACATACATGGAGATATTAAGAGCAAACACAAAATGAATGAGGAAACTTGAGGATAAGAAAACATACAATCTGAAACATTCCCAACATCCCCGGAATGCTTTCAGCCTGAACAGATCGGGGCTTCACAATCTGCAAAACATAAATGTATAAGCTTCAAACAAATTATTAATTGAATCTATCAGCTACGTGTTATAAGAACTACGAAGTATACATTTATATACTGTAAGATAAATAGGTAATAGAATTGTTTGAAGCTGAACCACAATGGGAAGTAGGCAACTTCAGAAAATTTCTGTTGAGCATCATATTATGGCACCAACCTTTCCTGTTTTGATCGGGACAACATCATCCACTGTAAGAGGCTCTCCAGTAACTGGACATTTACCATAGTCCTATAGAGAGAAATTCAACTTTAAAACAGAAAAGACAATAACAATACAAAATAGTATGACACAGTCCATAAAGTATGCATAAAATGTTGCTTAACATAGATGCCAGTATGCTATATAACAACTACAACTTAAAATAACTACCTCACACAAATTCAAAAAAGATGGAAAGAATCATCCAAAAAAATAAGTGGGATAATATATATCACACTGCCCTTTTTTCTTTGCATAAAGTTTTTTTTTTGGGGGGGGAGGGGTGGGGAATCTTCAGACTACATATTAATTTAAATGCTAAAAACAATCTTGGTGTTGTGGACAGGCGGAGAATGTCTACGTTTACCATCAACTCTGGCATACAATTCTGAATCAGAATGCCCTAACTATACAGTACATCACATGTAGTATAAAAAAATGACTTTTCATCCTTTCCTCTTGCGGGCAAATCGAAAAAAACATAAAAATAGTTTCCCTTGATGAGTTAAGGCCATGGTTATGCT